CCCCCGACTCTCTGAGCCTCTCCTGGACTGTGCCCCAGGGCCACTTTGACTCCTTCACCATCCAGTACAAGGACAGGGATGGGCGGCCCCAGGTGGTGCGTGTTGGAGGAAAGGAGAGAGAGGCCACTGTGAGGGACCTGGAGCCTGGACGCAAGTACAAGATGCACCTGTATGGACTCCACCAGGGCCACCGCATGGGCCCTGTGTCTACTCTGGGAGTGACTGGTAAGTGAAGGTTAAGGGGTCTTTAGGTTGATCTCAGGGAAGTGGAGTCTCCAGTGTTTCCTCTGCTAAAGACCCAAGTCCCCAGAGCCCCTAGGCCTCTAATCCCCCCACCCCATCCTGTAGTGCCTTAAGACAGGTGTGATCTGGGGGCAGGGAGAGCAGGGAGAGCTAGTCAGACCTATCTGGGTGAGAGCCCTGGAGACTGAGGCCTCTAAGACAGTGATTCACAGCCAGTTTGTGGCTCTCTCCTTTCCCTCAGAGAAAATTTTAGAGAAATTTCTTTTTGTATTATTGGGACAAATTCCATGAAATATTAATTTATTCCTTTAACATATCCTGATGAAGCAAAATTTCAATCATATATGCAATGAGAAAGAATAATATGATGACCACTGGTATATTTGTCACCCTGCTTCAATTAAATGTCAACTCCTGGCCAGTCTGGTTAATTTTTGCCCCGCCCCTTCCCACCCTCTCCTACTAGAATGTTCTTTATTAGTGATTTTTTTCACTATAAAATTTATGTGCCATAAAATTCACCTGTTTTAAGGGTGCAGCTTATCCATTTTGGTACATTTACCTAGTTTGCAACCATCATCACTGTCTATTTTCAAAACTTTTTCACCATCCCAAAAAGAAATTTTAACTTCAGATGCGTTCCTATCCCCAACCCTCCTTCCCCACTTATCTATATGACTCAGGAGATTTGCCTTTTCTAGAATTATACAAATGTAATTATATAATTCATGTTTTTGGGGTCTGACTTCTTTCACTGTATCCCAGGGACAGTTTGACTTTCACTGAGCATGATGTTTTTGAGGTTTATTCACTGCAGTATTTTAAAACTAATCTTGGACACACTATATTTTTAATAAATATGTAAACATATCTTTCTTTTTAAAAAGGCTATTTTTATAGGCTGGTGGTATAGCTCAGTGGTTGAGTAGTAGCCTAGCATGTGCAAGGATCTGGGTTCAATCCCTGGCACAGCAAAAGGAAATAAACACACAAATAGGCTATTTTTTAAAAATATCCACAATGCAATTACCATACTTTAAAAAATCATAACAATCATTTCTTACTATGGTCAGTTATCCAGATCTCATAACTGTTGCTTTGCAATTTATTGCTAGAGCCAGGTCCAAATAAGGAAAACCATTGAAATCAAAAGAATTGGGTTGGGGCTGTGGCTCAGAGGTAGAGCGCTCACCTACTATGCGTGAGACACTGGGTTCAATCCCCAGCACCACATAGAAATAAAATAAAGATATTGTGTCCACCTATAACTAAAAAATAAATATTAAAAAGAAAGAAATCAAAAGAATTGGAATTTTGATTAGAATAGTCAAGAAAGGCCTCCAATAGGAGGTGATATTTGAGCAAAGATTTAAAGAAAGAATAGACATGAGCCATTCGTACATCTGGAGAAAGTCTTCAGGAGAAGTGAACAGTCATGCAAAGGCCCTGATGTAGGAGGCTGCCTGACATGTTTGTGGACTGTAAAGAGACCACAGAAAGACTTTGGTGATCATAATCAGAAATAGATTCTAAGGCCAGAGCTAGTCCACCTTCTGACCTGGATCCAAGAAAGCTGGGACTTCAACACCTCCTTCCAGCAACAAGAAATATTCTGTTTATATCTCTAGCCCCTGAAGAGGAGCCTTCTGATGCCCCTCCTCTGAAGCCACGCTTGGAAGAGCTGACCGTGACAGATGCCACTTCTGACACCCTGAGCCTCTACTGGACAGTCCCTGAGGGACAATTTGACCACTTCCTGCTCCAGTATAAGAATGGGGATGGGCAGCCCAAGGCTGTGCGGGTGCCAGGGCACAAAGATAGTATAACCATTTCAGGCCTAGAGCCAGACCATAAATACAAGATGCACCTGTATGGCTTCCACGGTAACCAGCGCATGGGCCCTGTCTCTGCTATTGGTTCAACTGGTGAGTAGATAGAAATATACTGGGCCCTGCCCCAGGTTGGATCCAGTTTTCCTTTTACTGTTAGTATTTTGTTTTGTTGTTGTTGTTTTGGTTTGATTTTGGGTATTTTTTTTTTTTTATGTATGTGGGATTGAACCCAGGGGCACTTAGCCACTGATCCACATCCTCATCCCTTTTTGAATTTTATTTAGAGACAGGGTCTCAGTAAGTTGCTAAGGGCCTTACTAAGTTGCTGAGACTGGTTTTGAACTTGCGATCCTACTGCCTCAGCCTTCTGAGTCACTGGGATTACAGGCATGTGCCACCACACCCAGTTGTTGTTGTTATTTTTATACTAGAGATGAACCTCAGGGAACTTTACTAATGGACTAGAACCCTAGTCCATTTCATCTTTTTACTTAGAGAAAGGGTATTGCTAAGTTGCTTAGGGCCTCGGCCTCCTGAGTTGCTGGGATTTCAGGTATGTCTTACCATGCCCTGCTTGGGTGTTTTTATTTTACTCCCTGAGACTGAGCCTCCTGAGCTTCTAGGATTGGTTCCACTCTTGTCTTCACTCCAAACCTTTGATGTTGCCTCAGCTCTCTTATCCTTTACACAGGGGTATTTTGGGTCCTTGAAGAGGCAAGATACCAGGGAAAGAACGGATTCGGGCACAGCCTGGGTTGACCTTAACCTCAGCCCATTCAACCTCAAAAGAATCACTCAGCCTCTCTGGGCTTCCCTTTCCTCTTCAAAGAAGGAATAGCCACACATCTTAAAGGGTGGGTGGGGTATGACTGGGCTCACACAGTGTGAAAGGTAACCACTTCCCCTTGAAGGTAATTCGTTCTTAAAGACTCCTTAGGACAGAGGCTAGAGTTGTGGCTCAGTGATAGAGTGCTGTCTAGCATATGTGAGGCACTGGGTTTGATCTTCAGCACCACATAAGAAAATAAATAAAAATAAGGTATGTGTCCATCTACAATTAAACAACTAAAAAATATTTTTTAAAAAACTCCTTAGGACAAACCTATTATCATTGATTTCAGTAGGAAAAATTATAGATGTTTCCTAAGCCCCCAAATTGATACCACTTATGCTGAACCAACACTGAATCCTGTACATTGTTTTACTATTTAATATTAGTCATGTGTGCAACTTAACAAGGCGTTTTCCTTTCACCAGTCACTCTGTAACATTGTCACTGATGCTTTTATTAGGCCTTATGTCGCTGCTACCCCTGAGGTATAAGATGCTTTCCCAAACAGAACAAATGAACATGGTGATTTTGTGATTCAATTCTCAAGGCAGATGAAACCCTATAAGAACAGAAAAGGTTAATAAAAACAAAGCACATGATTTCACAGAGGCCCAAAGAGCTGGTCTCAGTGGAGTGGAATCTTTGTCCTAAGTTAGCAGAACCCCTGTTAAGGTCTAGAAAATACCTGATTGCAAAAATGACCTCAGTCTCTCATCTCCTTACCCTCAGTGGTGAAATCAAAATTGGCTTCTAAAAATGCTTGGGAAAATATTGTAAACCAGAAGGAACATTAAAGGAAAATACTTGTAAAATAGGAGTCCCAATCCCAAGAGAATGTAGCTCCCAATATAACTTTCTGTAATGTTGGGTTTTGTCATAAAATGTTGTATCTAAGACACTAAACAGATGGGATTTGGCAACTCCTAAGGGACTGCATTGCAACTTTGCACAAGTCTGTGCTTTCTCCCTGGTAACTGAATATTCAAACCAGAGGACCTGCATAACCCTTCTAAGAGAAATCCTAAAATCCCTTGGCTTGAAGGAACCCTACCAAATATATCCACCGATTTTTTTTCTCATGATCCAGACCCAGAAAAGGATGAAATACTTACCGCAACTCTGACAGAACCACCAACCACAACTCCTGAGCCTTCTATCAAGCCACGCCTGGGGGAGCTGACTGTGACAGAGGCCACCCCTGACTCCCTGAGCCTCTCCTGGACAATCCCTGAAGGACAGTTTGACCATTTCCTGGTCCAGTACAAAAATGGGGACGGGCAGCCCAAGGTAGTTCGGGTGCCAGGGCATGAGGACAAAGTCACCATCTCAGGGCTGGAGCCAGACCACAAGTACAAGATGCACCTGTATGGCTTCCACAGTGGCCAACGCACAGGCCCCATCTCTGTCATTGGGGTGACAAGTGAGTAGATGCTGGGAGCCCCAGGGTGGGACCCACTGGGAGGTTGACTCTAACTCTTGGGTAACAGCTGAGCAGGGAACAGTGGCAGAGGCTTGGTCAGTAACCACAGGCCTGCTCTTGGCTGAGGCTATGGCCCCCTTTGTGTCTCTCCTGAGGTTGACCTCTGTCTCCTTCTGGAAAGGGAAGGGCCATAGGAACTTGTGCTGTGCTGGGAGCTGCCCCCAGTTCCACCCAGCTGATCTTGAGCTTGGGCATGCTTGTCAGCTGAGCAGGGCCTCCCAACCCCAAGGATGAACTTGGGCCTATCTAAACCGACCTCAGTACCCTCAGTGGTGGCTGTGGCTCCTCCCTTCTTCTCCCCAAGACCTGAGACACTTCCCAGGAAGCCTGCCTCACCCTTTCTCTTTCTCCTTCTCAGCTGCAGAGGAGGAAACCCCCAGCCCCACAGAGGTGGAGGAGACCCCCAGGCCCACAGAACCCAGCACGGACGCCCCAGAGCCCACTGAGGAGCCACTCCCGGGGGAGCTGACAGTGACAGGCTCCTCCCCTGACTCCCTGAGCCTCTCCTGGACTGTGCCCCAGGGCCAGTTTGACTCTTTCACCATCCAGTACAAGGGCAGGGATGGGCGGCCCCAGGTGGTGCGTGTTGGAGGAGAGGAGAGAGAGGCCACTGTGGGGGACCTGGAGCCTGGACGCAAGTACAAGATGCACCTGTATGGCCTCCATCAGGGCCGCCGTGTGGGCCCCGTGTCTACTTTGGGAATGACCGGTAAGTGAGGAAGGGACTGAGGGGTTATCTTTCTTTCCCTGTGGATATCTGTTTGACTGTTGGATTTTTTCAACAACTCCTGTGGGCCGGAGCCTTGGCCTTCCTCTCATGTCCTTCCTCCATTATCCTTGTCCATGGCCTATACCTATTGGTTTGACCTTTGCTCACTTTCAGCCATTTTCACTTTGTTGTGGGCTCTCTCTGACAGGCAGCCTTTGCCACCTCCAACAGTGATATGTGTCAGGCACAGGCCAAGCTGGATTTACCAGAATTTTTTTTCTTTCCATCTTAATTATGGGATTCTTTGTTATAACTACATACACACACACACAAAAGAAACAACCCAACATCAAGCCACATTGGGATGACTGAATAACTTAGTGAATAGCTTTAAAATGAGCTATTATACTGCTATTGAAAATGTTTTACATAAAACAATGACTTTATTATGTTCCATTGAAAACACAGAGGCCCAAATTTTTGTAAAGATGCTAATCACAGCTATTCGAAAATAGCAGTCAGGGCAAGAAGACTGGAAGAAATACATCCCATGGGTATATGATTTGTTAGACAGAATGGAGTGTTCCAGCATGTTTTATTTTTCTATTTTATTCTTTTCTGCATTGTCCAAATTTTCTTAAATGAGGGCATTTCTTTTTCTTTCTCTAGGCATTTTTTTATAAACACAAAGGTCCATTTTATTTATTTATTTATTTATTTTAGGATGGACCTTTGTGTTTTATTTATGTGGTGCTGAGAATTGAACCCAGTGCCTCACACATTCAAGGCAAGTGCTCTACCACTGAGCCACAACCTCAGCCCTCAATTATTACTTTTTATAATACAAAATTTATCTTTTAATATTTTTTCTTTTGAATCTAGGGTGCTTTACCACTGAGCTACATCCCCAGACCTTTTTAGTTTTCATTCTGAGACAGGGTCTTCCTAAGTTGTTGCCATCCTGCTGCGTCATCCTCCCTAGTAGCTGGGGTTATAGGCATGCGTTACCATACTCAAGCAGAATTTCTTTCTAAATCTACATTTTTATAGTGAAAAGAACTGTAGCAGCATTATGGAAAAATAGGAAAAAACTCATAATCCTACCTTTTACCCAATAACTGCTGTAAATAACAGTGTGAGCATTTGCCTAGCATGCATGAGCCCCCCCTCCAAACAAACCAAAAACTATGTGTATAACACATATTCCCTTTCTGCATTTTGCATACAAGTATGTGTTTTGAAGTTGCAGTCAAGAATATTCATTTAAATTTTGGCTCTTAATTTTTTGTACACAGTTACATTGTAATCATTTACCTGGCAGCTACACAACCTTTATTAATCATCATTTTAATGGTTATTTGATGCTTTGTGGTGAAAGCTCTGTACCAAAATTAATCATCTTTTCCAGGTCATTTGGTTTCCTGACACATTTTGCTGCCATGAATAATCCCATTATGAATTCTTCCATGCTATAACTTTTTCCTGCTTTTAATAATTTTCTTAGGACAGATGCCCAGGATGGGATTATTGGGTCAAAGGAAATGAGTACTATTTTGGCTCCTGACACCTATGTCCCATTTGTTTTCTGAAAATTTGTAACCATGCACCACTGCCAACAGGACAGGACCGGCGTGGGGGCTGGCTCAGCTCCCTCCAACTATGAATGACTGGATGGCTAATACCAAAGGCTACCCAAGCCTCTGAGCCTTTGACTTGAGAAGCATATCTCCTGGATGTACTTCTCCATATGTATCAATGACACTAGTGAAGTAAGTCACCTTTGCTTCTGTCTCTTCTTTAGCCCCACGGAAGGTTGTGGAGGAGACTCCCAGCCCCACAGAACCCAGCATGGAAGCTCCAGAACCCACCGAGGAGCCACTCCTGGGGGAACTGACAGTGACAGGCTCCTCCCCTGACTCCCTGAGCCTCTCATGGATTGTGACCCAGGGACATTTTGACTCCTTCACCATCCAGTACAAAGACAGGGATGGGCGGCCTCAGGTGGTACATGTTGGAGGAGAGGAGAGAGAAGCCACTGTTGAGGACTTGGAGCCTGGACACAAGTACAAGATGCACCTGTATGGGCTCCACCAGGGCCACCGTGTGGGCCCCATGTCCACTGTGGGAATGACTGGTGAGTGAGTGTAGGATGGGGCAGGACAGGGAAGAGCAGTGCTGGAAGTTGTTTGATTCTCCACCAGCTTCACAAAAACAAAATATTCCTGCGG